GGCCCCTGGGATGAGCCGCTACGGAGGGCTGCCCGCCCGAGTGCGAAGGGTGAGGCGGGGGGTCGAGCTGCCGCAGAGCCGGGTTCTCCTTCCCGCCTCCTTGGCGTGGGCCGGGGCCCTTCGCCAAGGTGAGGGGCCTTCCCACACCGGCGGCGGAGGGGGAGGGTAGCGCAGCGAAAAGCTCACGGGCCTGGTGCGCTCGGCTCCTTGCTGTAGGTCAAACTCCAGCTTGTTGCTTGGCCTCCGCGAGGCCGGGGTTTTTTGCCCTTGCAGAGTCGAGGAAGTGTCCTGCTTCAAAATGTCCCCTCTAGCCTGCAGAACGTCTCGTTTTGCGCGGTGCAGGCACAGGTTTCCCCGGCAGGAAGAGCTTTGTGCAAGCGCCGATATGACCTTAGACTGCTGGAAGCCCAAGGACACACGCGGGCCGCTTGTGAAAGAGGATTCATTCATTTATGCCTTGCTAGATTTAAAAGTCTAGGTTATGTCTATGCATTTAACAACTGTGGAATTCATTTTGATGGCTTTTATTTTTCCATTTCAAAATGTGTATCATTGCCTGCTGGTCTGTCTGCCTGTTTTGCTACATTTTCTGTCAGTGTAACGCATGTAAATGTTCATTGATGTAGCTATTTGCAATAGTGTCTCACTGAAAATGGTGCTATCAGATTGCATGGCAGTGTTTGCTTCTGTATTGTTCATTGTATATCCAGCTATGCAAAGATTGCTGTCTTTCAAGTAAGACAAATGGCTTGGTCGATAATAGCCTTATAATCTTACACACTATTGTACAGGACAGCTGTGATCAAATGTTTCTGTTTTGATAGCTTTGTTCCTTCTCTTGCAGATCCGTGCTGGATCAAGAGTCTTGTACAGACCAATTTCGGCATCTGTGTTGTCTAGGCCAGAGGTCAAGAATGGAGAGGTACCTTATAAACAAAATTCTGTATCTTCCTAAATTACCTGGTGAGCCTAAATGTCCTCAACCTAGAGTTCACTTGTACTGACTCAAATATCTGTAGTGTGAAACTTGCTTGAAGTCAAACACCTAGTAATACTTGTTGCTGTCTTGCTGTTTCCCCTAAGAAGTCTTTCACATTTAAAGTGGATTGCTTTTAGGTGAAACAGGTAACATCCTGAAGTTTTTAGCTCTTAGTTATAGTGTCATCACTTGGAAGAGGATCTAATGCAGCTATTAAAACTGCAGCATAACACGATAAAAGTGGTCATGGAAAGTGGTCTGTGTCTGAATATAATGCTTTTTCATGTTTTGTTTTCTTAGGGCAACTCAACACTTAATGGGGCCCAAAATACTGTCTCCCGACTAGCACTTAGAGAATTCCAGACTAGTGCTATCAGCAGGGACATTGACACTGCTGCCAAATTTATTGGTGCTGGTGCTGCCACAGTAGGTGTGGCTGGTTCTGGCGCTGGTATTGGAACAGTCTTCGGTAGTCTAATCATTGGTTATGCCAGGTAATCAATCTCTCTCTTATAAAACTCTTGAATTGCATGCAGATGTATCTTGAGACAGCACCCCCAGATAAGCCAAGTTGTAGTAAGGATGATGGCACTGTAATAAATTCTGTTAACAATTAGTGCTAATGATAAACGTAGTTAAATAGAATTGTATGAAACTGTAGTATATTCATCAGGATGGCTCTGTTATTAAATTCAGAACCTTGCACACACTACCTGGAGAAGAGACATGAAAGGTATGAGATCCTTAGACTTGACCAGTGTTTCGGTCACTGAAGTCCAATGTTTCAGCATTCAGTTCCAGAACTGAATTAAAAAATCCAGCCTGGATCTTTTTCCATGTGAGAGGAGAGAAGTCCTAACGAGAAACTGTATGAAAAGTGGTAATAAGTAATGTGAGTTTGTATGTAACTTTGTAGTCAGGATTGTTGTTTAGAACTGGATGCTTAATTCTGTTTTCTAACACATTCAGCTTTGTATCTCAGAATATGTAATTATCAAATGAGTAATCATTCCTTCTAGAAATTTGAAGGGGAGGAGGATGGGGATTTTATAGTAGGGATGAATGTCTTCCAGATAAGTTTACAAAGTTCTTGTAGTAGGAGTAGTTCACATGGTATCATGGAAGAGCAGAACTGATCCAGTCATAAAAAAGCTTTACTGAAGGTTTTGTGTTCTTCATTACTCTTTCAACCAGTTGAGACTTAAGTCTTGTTTCTTAAAGATTTTTAAGCCCTACTGAAGACAAGGAAGTTAACTTGCCACTTGAAGAAACATAAGCGTTTTCAGTACAAAACTAATGTCTGCTTTTTTGAATTTGGCATGAACACGTCAGTAAGATTGTACATTACTTCATAGTATTATGTTGAAGGTTTTTTTTTCTCTCCCACACACTTCATGGAGGGATAGATAATTCATTGCATTTTTGCAACAAACTGCTGTGTATTTCTTTCTTTGCTCTGTGGTTTCGATTCCTGTATTTGCCCAGGAGTTACTTAAAATGCTATACACAAACTTTCTTGGAATATAGTTCTAATGTCACAGATGTGAAATAAATACATAAACCATAGTGCTGATCACTCCTGCATGGGAGGATGTAGAGAAGTCAAATTCAAAAGCATATATGCATGTAGTCACAAAAACTCTGCTCATTTGGACAAGCCATATACGGTCTGCATGATGTCAATCTATTCTTAATTACCAAGTATTTGTCCTCAGTGAAATCCTTACTAAAAATGACTTCTGCTTGGATTTATTGGATTTTCCTGTTACAGAATCTGTGGCAAGGAAGTATGAGGTCTGAATCTATCAGGTGTGTTAAACTGTATAAAAAACATCTTAATTGTAAAGATAAAAAGGTCTTACACCTTCGCTTTCTTTTAGAAATCCTTCTCTGAAGCAGCAGCTGTTCTCATACGCTATCCTGGGATTCGCCCTGTCTGAAGCTATGGGTCTCTTCTGTCTGATGGTTGCTTTCTTGATCCTATTTGCCATGTGAAAGGAGATCTGCCCGTAATACTGGCATTGGAATGTAACTCTGCATTTTATGGGACTCCCAAAATGTTGGTGTCATGGAAATTGATGCTATTTCCAAAGTCATTTCATTAAAGATAACAACTTTAACTGTCAACCTGTTGCCTGCATTTATTATCTTTCTCACTAGGCTATCTGGAGGACGGCGTCTTGTCATTCAGTCACCATGCATTTCTCCTGATAATGACATATCACATAGGACCCTTCCAAGAATGACTTAAGTCAAACATTTTGCTTATTAATACATATGGGAGCACCATTTGTTTGTTAAAGTTCATGTGTCATATCTTTGAAAGATCAAAGGATACACAGATTAAATGTGAAAGGCTGTACTGCTGGCCTTGTTCCTTCACTTGTTGCAAACTGAATCCAGAGCTGTTTCTGTGCACAGTTTGGTTTTTTTCCCCACAGGCTAGCTGGCACATACGGTGTTCTGGCACCTCTTGATAGAAGAAGCTAAACACAAAACCATGAACAGTGATAGGAAAGTTCTCTTTGCATCAGTTCTCAGTTACGTTATAAATTTTGATCACCACGGTAAAAATTGTCTACTTGGTTCTGAGCAGTGTCCCAGCTGAACTAAACTAACTACTGCCTTAGGTTGGTCCAAGGCATTTAATTGTGGCACATTGGTATTATACACTTAGTTACTGCATTCTTGGCATCACCTAATTAAAAGGGAGAACTTTCAGCTTCCTAATTTTTTAAAGTCAGCCTTGCGTTACCTCCCAGATTCTTTTAAGAGTAGTAGGGTCCAAGCATTTTTAATAACAAAATATCTGCAATATCAAGCTTTACTTCTCACAGTATCTGTCTTTTCAGCAATCTAAATGCATTTACAGTGTTGTCTACACTTAGAGCAACATACTGTGCTCCTGTATACTAATCTGGTGGGGGGTGATAGCATCTCAAACTTTATTCAGAATATTTAATAGATCTGATCAACAAATATAAACGGAGTTTGGAAGAAGGTGAGCAAGCTTGTTACGAGCTCTGTCATCTTGCTGTTAAATGGGTAATTGCTGAATTAAATCTAGGAAACTGTCTACTCTAAGCTGCCTATCCCTAGGGAAATGGAAAAATGACTAGAGGCTCTTAGGTCAGTGTATGGTACAGGTAAAACCTTTGTTTTCATCTGAATTCAAATACCATATTAGTGTTCATATAGTCAGACTTGGACCTAGCATGAAAAGCTATTTTCCCCATATATTCTTAGAAGAAAATGGTTATCTCAACAGGATTAAAAGTTGCCATGTAAATCCTTTTATATGTCTCAGGTGTAGGAGTGTAGAATATGCAGCATCTTTAAATGTTCATCTTTAGTGCAGTATTAGTAGTGCCTTATAAGACAAAGTGTGGAAGTGGGGTTGGAGGGGGGAAGTGGGAGAGGGGTAGGAAGTAAAGCATATTACACTAGGTTTTTTACCAGCTTAACCATTCTCATAATGTTACGGAGCTGACATACAGTGCGTTTGCCCTGGATGAAAGGCGGATAATTGTGGCTAGAGTTCTAGGCTAAAGCTTGCTGTCCTTCTGGTGGGTGATGAACTTTGTCCTGTCTGTGCAGCCATCTGAGGTGGGAATCCATATTTCCTAATATCGTGGACTAGTCTAGTGGACTAGCTGAATTCAAGCTTCAGATTTCCATGCCACTGGGATTTGGGTAAACAAATATCTTCAAACTTGTCTTGGTCAAGCCTAGTTCCAGCTCTGTTAATCACACCTAGCAATTTCTTTATGTATAAAAAGGTTCTGCTGAGTTATAGTGCTGTGTTTGGTGTAAAGAGAAGTTCTGGCTAAGTATTCCTCCATAATCTCCATAAGAAAGCCGCCTGAGTCACCGTGAACTACTTGAATCAGCTTTGAATAATGATTTCTGGATTTATGTCCCACATTTTCCCACGTGGTTCATCCTGTCAACATGTACCTTTTTCCCTGTAATCAGCCTTGTCTGAAAGGCGGCAGGCATCGCAGGTGTAAAGCCTGTCTGGTTTAGCAGTAGCGTCTCCCCAAGCTTGTTACCTTTTCACTCACTCTTACACTGGTGAACGTGGGCCAAACCCAGGCAAAATTGCTATTAGGTTATGCTAATCTTGAAAGAATCGCATCTCGGTGTTACAGATAAAGACTAATCAAGGTCTTTCAAAACATGGCAACAAACCTTCACAGAGGGGATTATCCGCCTTACTGACAATAACAGGCTTATGAGCAATGGGTGGATTTTCACATCTGAATGATCACGGGGCACACTGACTCTATTGCTCTATTTTCACTGCTCTTGAAAAATTGAGCTCGGTTTTAGTGGTTCAAATTGACTGAGCTGTTGAGTGGTCTTACAAAAAATTCTCTCAGTTTTTGTAAAATACCCACAAAATATCCAGCTATAGTTGTGCAAAAGATTGTGGTGTTTGGGTTTTCTGGTTTTGTTTTTTGTTTGTTTGTTTTTTTTATAATTCTTTGCAGTGATTGGGCAGCAGCAACCTATCTAAAAGGACTCTTGATGATCATCTGCATAAGGAGTTTACATCAAGAAATCTTTCATAGTTCAGAGAACCAGACACAAAGTTCCACGAGGCTTCACTTCCCTGGAACCTTTGTCAGTTTTTCTGCCACGGACTGTGCTGACCTTAGAGGTTGTCAGCTGGGGAAGATTCGTGTTGTAGATTCTCCAGATCCAAAGACTGTGTTCACGTTTCGGTGTTGAAGACGGAGCCATCTGGAGCAGAGATCTTCACTGTCACTGAGTAACCAGTCTGCCCGCTGTCCCAGCAGATCCGGCACCATTCCACCTGTGACAGTGGCATACACAGCAGTGTTACCAATGAAGTTCTTAAATTATTGCTGCAGGTAACAGTGATTCATTGTTTCCATCCTGCTGCTTTCCCTCTGGTTTTTTTGCACCAGTTTCAGAATGAGGAAAGGCAAAAAACTTGCAGTTCGGTTCTCTGTTCAGGACTGATGCTGCCATGTGATGGTAGATCTGAAACACTGAAAAATACTCATTTCTGATACAGCTCTTAGTTGCTCGGTGAAGAAGGAACATCTCTTTGCACTGTCTCACATTTGAACCCTTCACAACATGCTTACAGTAAAGAATAATTCCACCTCCAGGTAAACTGTACTTTTACGCAGTATTTTTTATCCCACCTTATTCCAAAGAGCTTTGCAAAAGTGCTGTACAGTACCCGTCCAAACGATTTACAAGGAATGAAACACTCCTTACCGTCTTTTGCAAATTCAGGGAAATTTAGACATGATGTAATTTAATGGCACCAATACTTCTGTATTAGAAGTGTGGGAGGGGAGTTCTGTTGTTCACAGTCTGTACTCTCGGGTCAGCCTCAGAACAAGACCGGTGATACACAGAATTACAAACCCAGCTGATGCAGAGCATACCCTGGTGCTTGGCCATGTAGGATTATGGTATTTTTTAACTCCTCCAAATCCCTTGCGCGGTGCGGCAGCGTATCTGACAGTGTTGAACCGGGGGGCGT